AACGCCCCGGCAAACAGTTCCTCAATTAGCCAATCCGACCGTTCTAGCAGTTTACGTTCTCGTCTAGGTCCTCAAGATAGCGTATACTCTTGTCTTAGCGCACGGAGGAGCGTGCACTCTGGATCAAGCCCACAGATGAGCATACGTTCATGATTGAGGCCATACTCTGATTATTAACATGGACAACCTTTCAAGTGAAGTGTTGATTCACAACTAGGCTCGCAAGGAGCATTCTCCACCTCACATCGAAGTAGACAGCACAGCGGATGGAGAAAAGCAGTCACTCAATCAGGCTCAAGTTCAACTAGCAACTTGCAAATAGCCTGCTCGCTTGCCAGGAGCGTGCCATATGCACCGCAGCCACAGTATAGACAAGTCGAGCATAAGGAAAAGCGGCCTAAACTAATAGGTCATGATCGAAGACAGCTAAAAATTCCACTATCCCAGCAGAGCCAAATTCAAGAAGAAGTTGACAGGCTCCTGACTAAATGATTACGCAACGAGGCTGCTAACAATGCGCTTCAACGAGACATGACCAACATAAGCATGTCACCATTCACGGATGAGATCGAGCGTACAAATCCACCTCGCACTATGCCTTACTTCACTCAGTACAAGGGGGAAAAAGATCAGGATTGACATCTTAAGCACTACTGCAGTACCATGATCCTCTATAGGAACAACGTCGCACTTATGTGTAAAATTTTTGCCACAACTCTACAAGGCGAGGTCCAAGACTAGTTTCACACCCTACCGCCGCAATCGATCCGGAGTTTCAATGAACTTTTCTTAGTTTTCACTAAGGGGTATTCGTCTAACTGCTCAATCAAAAGGACATCCGACCATCTCTTCAGCATCGTAAAAGATCCTTGGGAGACAATTCGCGACTATTTCAAGAGGTTCAAAGCGGAGAAGGCCAAGATTGTTGGCTGCAACGAAGACATAACAACGACAACATTCAGAAATGGGCTTCCCACCGAACACCTTTTATTCGAAAAACTGATCATGGGAGAAGAACTAACCCTAGCAGCTTCTTATGCTTTGGTGGAAAAGCACGCACTATGGGACGAGGACAAGTAGTCTAACAAAAATGAGTTAGAAAAGAAGCACATGGAACGTTCCCCGACTAGAGAAGACTCAGCGCCCAAAACATTCACCAAGTTCATAGTTCCAATCGGTCAAATTCTTCGCAAGTTCAAGAATGAACCTTGGTTCGAACTACCGTCACCTAATAAAGGCAATCTTACCAGGCTGGATCAGACAAAGTATTACGTATTCCATCAAAGACCAGGCTATATTACCAAACGGCTGCCAAAAGTGGAAGCAGTGCCTTAAAAAGCTGACAAGTGAGGGTCGGTGCGACGAGTATCTTGATGGGTCAACGATATGGCCTGCACAAGCAGGGGAAGTCTCTATCACCCCCTGAACTCGTTAAAGCTTCTCCAAATAAGTTCGAAGTCTCAAGCAACGAAGTCTCAAGTAACTTGATAAACAAGGCCTCGCAAACCGAAGATTATCAAGTTTGTTATACAGTTTCTACCTTCCAGCACGGTCGATTCATTTCTTTATTCTCAATGAAGATTTAAGAAGATTTTCATAAGCCTAGCTTAACTGCTGTCTACAACAATTGCTCAAAACCCTATCTGGGTTTGCTCTCTCTGGGTCTGCTCTCTAGTGCAAGATGATAAACTAATTGCTCTCCAGTACGAGAGGTAAACTAATTCACCGATATCCATTCGGGTATGCTCTCCAATGCAAGAGGATAAACTAATTGCTCTCCAGTGAGAGAAGGTAAACTAATTCTCCGCCACCTATATGGGTCTGCTCTCCAGTGCGAGAGGATAAATTAATTGCGCTCCAGTGAGAGAGGGTAAACTAATTCCTCGACACCCATTTGGGTCTGCTCTCCAGTGTGAGAAGATAAACTAATTACTTTCCAGTGCAAGAGGGTAAACCAATTCCTCGACACCCAAAAGGGTTTGCTCTCCAGTGCGAGAAGATAAACTAATTTCTCTCCAGTGCGAGAGGGTAAACTAATTCCTCAACACCCAAAAGGGTATGTTTTCTAGTGCGAGATGATAAACTAAGCTCTCCAATGCGAGAGGGTAAACTAATTCCTTAACACCCAAAATGGTATGTTATCCAATGCGAGAAGATAAACTAATTGAGTTTCAGTGCAAGAGGGTAAACCAATTCCCCGACACTCATATGGGTAAGCTCTTCAGTGCGAGAGGGTAAACTAATTCTTTGACACCCATCTAGGTAAGCTCTTCAGTTCGAAAATGCCACAAAGCTCAAAAAATCAAATGCTTGAAAACCTACTAAGCAGCAAATGGTCAGAGGGACAGCAGCCATTTTGCACCCAACAGTTCGTTCATCCGACACTTCATCTTCAACAGCTCTGATCTTGGCAGCTTCATCCTTGACTGCTCTATCTACGGCAGTTGAGAAATCAAAATTAAGCAGTTTCCTCATTTTTGGAAAGTAGCCCAAACAGTGGCCCATGCCATGTCACTTCCTCGGCCCATGCCGAGCCAATCCTTGGCTTCAATCAAGTTGAGCAGCATAAGCAATGGCCCCTGCCACACCACCTCTTTGGCCCATGCCAAGTCGACTTCTGGCCCCTGCCTGCCGACGTGTAGCACCACCCTGATGGCTGCCTTGCGAAAGCACCACCCAAGAAGAAGACAAGGAGAATTAAGTTTTTCTTACGTTGATGCGGCACGAAGAAGACAAAAAAATCAATGGAAGACGGTTCTTTGCACGGGCAAGCAAAGAAGAGTGCTAAAGGAGGGGGAACAAATATCCTCTAGTTTCTCTTTTTCTTGTAGGGATAAATAATTGCCCTTTGAAGTTGATTTAATCCCCTACTTAAGGTAGGCTTAAATAGGCTTTGGAGGTGATTTACTTCCTTTTCGTAGAAGAATCTAATTCCAAGTTCAGGTGAGCATCTGCATCAAAGTTGGAGATCTCTACACCTGTTGCCATTTCCTACGAGCAGCCCAGCAGGTGTGAGGGCATTTGTGGAATAAAAAATCATCAAGAAAATTATAGAGGCGATACGTGAACTCTTGGGTAAAAAGACAAAATTACCCTGAAGGCACACCGAAGCTTCTACGCGCAAGCAGTGGACAATCATGGCTCAATCAAGGTCAAAAGTGATCAAAATGGGTATTTATTCAAAACATATTTTATCCATCCCCGTCAAATCTCCCTCACAAGGTAACTCCCAAATTATTTATCCTAAATTATATTAATTAGTTAATTAATTGATTTATCACTCAATTAATTTATTAATTAGCTAAGTAATTGTAAATTACACCAAAAAAACCACTGAAGTGGCTGGTTCCCATCTCTCCCAAAAGGGCCAGCCACACCCCTATAAATACCACCCCATTTTCTCCAAAAACCTAAATTGAATCCTCTTGCAAAATTCTCTAAATTCTCCAAACACTTTTCTCTCAAAATTCTAACTTTGGCATCAGAAGTTCTTCGGCCAAAGCGCCCCCTCTCCCCAAAAAAAAATTCTTCATGGGTTCTTGGTCTTGACCTAAGGTGTTAATTGTTTTGTATGTGCAACCAAGAAGAAAAAGACGAAAATTTACATCCACACAAACGAGCTCTAAATTTAAGTAAATTTGGATACATTTAATGTAAGTTTGGATGACGGATCTTAGCGTAAACTAAACAAAAGAGAAATATACTCTTAATCATCTTGCCAAAACCAAATGGAGGGAGAAGAGAATAAAATGTTTTTTTTTTATTTTCACTAATTGACGGATATGAATCTTATAAATTGGATTGGGGAAGAAAGAGTTGAGAAGTAGATTAAATAACTCTCCTAATCACATTCACATGCATAGTTAATAAATTCACGTATAATACAAGTGCACAGTTAATAAATTCACATATAATACACGTGCGCAAACAACAGCGGTCATCAAAGGGCCACTGTGACTAGAAAAAACTCAGAAAAAATCTCAAAAGGGTAAGTGGAAAAAAAAGGACAAAAAACAAGAAGCGATTACTGATTGGAGGGAAAAAAAAAAATTGAAGAAGTGAAAATTGTGACCCAACAACACAACTAGATATGAGAAATTATGCAACCCAACATCATTTCTATGCATAAATGATGCGGCCCATCAACGAAAATTGAAGGAAAAAATTTAAAGATGAAGGAAAAAGATCAAACAAAGAAAGTGGCTATCAGGCAGTAAAAGGATGAGAGGTCAGACATTCAAAGAGGTCCATGGATTCGAAATATTAAGGTTTGAGTAGGATTCTATTTTATCTTGTTTATAGATCATTCTTGCTCTCAAATCCTACAAAATCCACAATTTAATGAAATCCTACAAAATCTTTAGCTTTTTAATACACCGACATTTGGATGAACTTTAAAAATGACTATTAAAATCTCGACTGACTACACCTATATTTTCATGGATTCTAAAAATCATTTAATTGACTACATTAGGATTTTAAAGTCTATTAAAATTCTCTCAAATTCAAGTTGGACTACACCTCCTTAAATAGTTTAAAAGAATTAATTGTTTTGTATAATTCATGTGGCACCGCTTTATTAGGTTTATAGTCCCATATATATGCCAGATCAACAAACAGAGTTATATCGGAAACATAACGGAATGATCATATTGGTGGTGGAAATTCAAACACAGGGACTACATTTATTGATTTTCATTACTCTAGACCAAATTAAAAACTTAAACTAATCTGAGAAACCATTTTGATTAAAAAAGCATCTAAGCTTTTCATAAGTAAAGCCTCGTCCAAATGTGTGCTCCAACATTTTAACCACGGGATTTCAACACTCCCAATTAGGGCATTCAAATCAGAATGTGATGATCCTCCTTTTTCAATAGCCCTCTTTGCCTGCTCTGCAAGTTCCCAAGCTCTACTTCTCATTTCCTCTGCTTTCAAACCCACCATAATCTTCCTTACAGCTTTATCAACAGCTTTCTCCTTTCTCAATAGGTATACTCTTTCTGAATTGGAATCCTTGATTCTTTTTTTTTTTTTTTTTTTTTTTTTTTTTTAATAGTAGTTGCTTCAATGTGGTTGAATTGAATGCAAAACCTTGGCAGATAGTTGTGACTTGTGAGCAGCAAAAATATACAAAGAACAACAGCATCAGTCCCACATCGACGCTGCGCTGAACCAGAACAGCCTTTATATAGTCATTTCCGTACTCACAATTCTTACCGTACTTGAACCATGACCGTGCGATCAGAGCAGTGACTAATAGCCCTGTGATGTTTGGAGTGGTCACACGGTTGTCCTACAGACCCCGCCTTCCCAACTCTGTTTGTTTTTGCGTGTAAAATTTCATATTCTTCTTCAATTCTTTCTGCACTCGCTGCCTTTTGGTTAAAATGCACATACCGTCCGATCACAGGCATTCCGATCGCCGTGTAGAAAAAACTTCCAGTATATTTCTTTGATTTCTACATAAGATTATAAAGAATAAAATACAAAATTGCCAACAAATGGAACATATAAATCTAGAATTACATGATGCACAACAAACATTGCACGATAAAAACGCATAAATAAATTACGTCTCAATCTTTTGAGGGCGGATGTAATCCGTCTTGCTTGGGAGGGATTGAAAGAGTGCTTTCAAGCATAAACGAGACATCATGCATCTGTGACATTATTCTCTCCACATCGTCAGATTTTGACCCTGCTCTTACGCTGGAAACATCTCCGCCCTCCACCACATCTTCAGATTTTTTTCCATCGTTAGTGCTTGCATCACCCAACCTAAACATGCAACAGAAAAAAGGAGTTAACATGTGTTCTTTAAAGAACAAGCACAAGCATTTTCCATGACGCTTCACGTATTACATTATTGAAAACCGCAAATTAGCATTCCACGGTGATTCGAAACAGGATTCTGCAGCTATAATAGCACCCATATAAATTGGCCTATACACGCACCTGTCTAATACAGAAGGCTCTAGCTGCACTCTATTCACGACAGTTGAACTGTTGGAACTGTTCAATGCTCCTGCTGAGAAATCTGGTTGCAAAAAGCTACCAAAATCCAAGTCACCGGAGCTGCTAGTGCTGCACAAATTTATTTCTGAAGTGTGGTCAACAGATGTCGTCTGATTAATACTTCGTTTTACAGAATTATCTGCAAGATTTGATGCATTCTTCGAGCTAGCAAAATCATTCCAAGCATCGAATGAATCACCATCCTCATCAGTAGTCTTATTATCAAGAGCCTTGTTGCTAGTGGTCTGCAATTGGTTGTCTTGAACCCAATCCACACCACCTTGTTTAACAGAACTATCCACAAGATTTGGTGCATTACTCAATCTTGCGAAATCATTCCAAGCATCAAACGAATCATCATTCTCCACAGTAGTCTTACTATCAAGATCCTTGTTGCTAGGGATCTGCAATTGGTTGTTTTGAACCCAATCAACACCATCAGGAAAAGAGTTATTCACATTTTCAGCTATTCCACCCTTCACCTCAGCAAGGATTTCCAACCGTTCAGGCCCTCCAGAAAACCCAGAGTTGGAAACGCCCAACAGATCATCTTGAAACCAGTCGGAGGACATGGATGCAGACCCAGTCACACTATGGTTTGATTTTTCATTCGTTGAGTCCACTACAGTTCCAAATACTGTGCCTATGTGGGCAGAAAGATCCACCGTGGAACCCACAAAGGGGTCAAGGGATTTTGATTCTTGGGGAAAGCTTTCAGAAGCTTGAGGGAGGTTTTCAGAAGCTCGAGGAAGGATTTCAGAAGCTTGAGGAAGGTTTTTAGAAGCTAGAGGAAGGGTTTCAGAAGCTTGAGGAAGGTTTCCAGAAGCTTGTGATTCAGAAGCAACAAAATGAAAACTTGCCGGCCAACCAGAATCACCACTCTCTCCTTCAGTAGTCTGCACAACTGTCTCAAAAGGCTTTACATTCTCAAACAACCTAAGAGTTTCATGACCTTGGAAACTCTCTTTACTGACAATCTGTGTGCTAGATCCAAACAACTCTTCGGAATTACTCAAAGCACCATCTTTCTTTCCTTCAAAGAAAAAGTTGTCGAGATTGACTCCAGCCAAATCTGGTAATTTGAGCAGATTGGGGATCTCATTTGGGAGATCAGTCTCAATTTTCTCTGGCTTAGAGGTCCATTTTATTTCAAGATTTAAGAGATCAGCCAGACTTAACTCATCCTTCGGCGCAGTCTGTGCTCTGTTTAATTCATTTGCTCCAACAGGTAAATCCACCATCTCCTGCAAACCAAAGTCTCAAACTTTACCAAGTATTCAAGAACCCCCACAAAATTAATTTCAAAGTCTCTACATTGACGAGAGGACAATAAACCTCATTTCTAGCAAACAAACTATAGGCAGACAAAATTATAATTTCTCACTTAGATGATATGGTTGCCAAACAAATGGACTACAAAACTGTAGCACCTACAAATTCCGTGTGTTGTCTGCTTAAGATCGAGTGCTAAGTAGATGTTGATACACATCATATACAAGGTACTATTTCTACATCTCTGCATAATCTCAGAATCACCTTCAACCATTTAATTTTCCATGCACTATAGACTAACATAAATAGCTTCGAATCAGATAAAAAAATTTCGACATCATTACGCTGTTGTGCGGCTAGAATAAGCTGGTAAAACAAATTTAGCAAACTAAAACAATCAAAGCTTCAATCTTTTTCATCATCCACTAGCAAGAAAGCATATAATTTGTTAAACTGGTGATTTTTCTTGAATAAACGCATTGAGAAATCAAATTCCGTTCATTTCAAGTGTTCCCATCAACCAAACACAACAAAAGGAATCCCCATTTTATTTCCCCATCTTAATCTCAACTTTCTCATCAACCAAACAAAAGATAGAAAATCAAGTTGCATGCATACCGATCCACTTAAGCTCAGGTACTGGAGCAGCCAACGGTACCCAAAAGTATCCCGGAAATTGATGGGGTCGGGAGGGTGGTCCTTGCAGTGTTCTCTGCCGCAGAAGACGCAGGTCAGCGTCTGAACGCCCCTCAGCAGCCGCCCTTTGCAATGCTTGCACCTCAGGTACGGCGGGGATGGATCCAACTCCGCTAGCGTTTCTTTGACGGAAGGTAGATTCGGCAGCGGCGTGTCGTCTGGGTCGTACGACGACAGCTCCGCTTCTTTCCGAAGCGAGATCTGCACCTGCTTTATCACATCCATCGGGATTTCCATCGCCATTATCAGAGTTGGTGGCCGTCGATGCGTGTGTTGGAATGGGACGGTTGAGTGATGAGGAGCACAGAGTCACTCAATCGCCATGTTTCCCACCAGTTTCTGTTCGACTCTCATTACTCGGAATACGGTGGTAAATCCTCAAGAAATATTCTTAATTTAATTAATTTATGAAGTGTTATTGACATTCTAAAAATTATATTTTACACTTGTCATAAATGTATTTTTCTTTTTAAATATAGAAAGTTTGGAGTGTAGAATAAGATTTTCGGACCGTCAATAACAATTCCCTTTTATTTAACTTATTAATCTTCTTTTTTTCATGATCAACTAAATTCAAACTTAATATCACTATATTGTATCATTGTAGCACCAAATGTTAGAAAACTCTTTTTTACAAAACGATATTTTTACTCTAAACTAAGAAGGAAATATTTGAACCCAAAAAGCATTAAATTGAAAAAAAATATCTAACTATTAGATACATTCACCACTTGCTGAGAACTTTTAATCATGTCAAACACACTAGTTTCAAAAGTTGGCTAAAATAATGAATTTACAAATTTCAAAAATTATTCAAAACCTACGTAATTTCGATTGATTACGTTTTGGGCTCCGCGAGTGGATAAATCTACGTAATTTCAAAAGTTGGCTAAGATTAAAGTAGACAACATTGCTTATTGGGTTTGCAATGGGGCTGGGCACGGGCCGGGCCAGGCCCAATTTTGAAGGGACTGGACCGGACCTAGATTCAAGGGGAACGGGGCGGGCCGGGCCGGGGATTACATTTTTTAATATAAGAACCGAACATTACCCGGCCCGGTTGAAACGGGCCGGTTCGGGCCGGGTCCACGGGTCCCTGTTTTTTTTTTTTTTTTTTTTTTGGTTGTTTGAAAGAAAAAAAAATTGTACAGATTCACAGATTGCAAACTGCACAGATTGCAATCTACACAAAAAACTGCACAGATTGCAATCTGCACAAAACTGCACAGATTGCACAAAAAACTGCACAGATTGCAATCTGCACAAAACTGCACAGATTGCAAATTGCACAAAACTGCACAGATTGCAAACTGCACAAATTTGCACAGATTTGGAAAACAAAAGAAAAACAGACAAGAAGACCGTAATAGCATGAATATAATCAATCAAAAAGCTTATGCAATTATATCGCAGCAGTCCATAATCATATAATCAATTAGAGCCATAAACAACTTCCAACACTGATATACATAATCGTGTTATGAAGTAAAGAATCTATTAAATAAGTAGGTTCTTTTCAGGCCACATTTCAGCCTCGAATGGCAGGCAACAATACTAGAAACTAGGTTTGAAATCAGTTATGAGAGTCATAATTGGTTTTAACATTTGTTTACATGTATGTTCTGAAGTCAATTTATTAGTTACCAACACTTCTTGAAGCAGCCAATACTTCCTGGAACGAAATTAAATTGATTAGTTACCAACAAATAAATATATTCCCTGGGAGCACTGGCTAAACTTCAACTAAATCAAGAACTAAGTATTTTGCATTGGCATACTTCATGACCTTTAACCAAGACACAAGTGATTACTGTACATTAGGTTCGTATGCTACAGGAGGCATCATTCCATATGTTAAAAAGTAAAAAAGGCTGTTTTTCCATTGTATGCAGAGTGATATTGAACCTTTCCTTAATGGAGATATCGATAACCCCCCGGTCTCTTCTCTTCTTTTCCAGGAGAGATATTGAACCTTTCCGTAATGGAAACATTAAATAGAAAAGGGATTACACGTTCAATGCACCAACCATTTGCCATCTTAACTCTAAGAAACTAGTTCCTTATTTTTAATCCTATGCTTAAAATTGCGGTGCACATCCTCATCCTCTCAGCTAGAACACTGGATGGAAATAACACCAACCTGCCTAGAAAAATAACATATGAGGGAGGGTGAACATGCTGAAAATCTACAATATCTTTCTGAACCCTAGCATCTAAATCATAATACTTCATCAGAAAGGTATTATCCTCATTTTCTTTTACAACAATTGCAGGGAACCAAGCATCAACTAAATTTTCCAGAAAATTAACCCATAACACATATTTGCAATTCTTAGCCGCCAATAAAAAGAACTCACTAGAAACAAGAAAGGGGGAACATCAATGTAGTTACTTCCTATTCAGATAACTGCATTGCATAGACCCATAAGTTTCGAAAACATAAGTGTCGAACGCATAGAAAGAATTAGCAATTACCTGCTTATTGGGCCGAACCCATTCGCCATTAACCCAATCTTGATGCAATCTGAGACGTTCTTTCTGAAATTCGATCAAATCCGGAGGGTTGTCGAAGACGACGGTGTACTTGGAATTGTTCTCGACAACCTTCCCTACGACCCCAGTCCACCACCCATCTCTGTAATCCGCATCCACCACATCTCCCTCCTCAAAATTCCGGTCAGCGAGCTGCGGCGGCGTGGGCCTCAGGTGCTCCAAATCGACGTACTCCTTGAGCTGCTTAGCCCCAAAAACCCTAAATTCCCAAATAAAAAACCCACGTAATTCCTAAATCAATTGAAAAGCTTATGCAAAAATCCTAAATTCCTAAATCAGAAACCCTAATTCATAAATTACCTAGGAATTTGCAGGATGATGGTAGTGTTCTCGACGGCGAGGTTGGTGTGGACCGTGTCGTGGTGGTCGGAACTCGCGATTGGGAGGATTGAAGGAGAGTTAGGACTCAGGAGACGATCCTGCGATGGTGATGTCGACAGTCACTGACTCACTATGAGTCTCAGGGAGTCGAGTCAGTACTCAGTAGGGGTCTGAGACGAGAGAGGAGAGGAGATTTGGGGAGTGATGTCTGACTCTGAGACGATCGAGCGAGGTCTGAGACGAGAGAGGAGAGGAGATTTGGGGAGTGGGGTGTCGAGTCGAGTCAGTCGACTGTGGGTGTGGGAGTCTGGCAGGCAGAGACAGAGTGATCAGATTAAATCAACGGATCAGATTAAATCAACGGATTTTTGGAAGGTGGAAACGGTTCGGGTCAGGGACCTGTTTCCTCAGCAATTAGGACCCGCCCCGCCCCCGCCCCGTTTCAGAATTTTAAAAACAAGACCCGCCCCGAATCGCTTGGACCCGCCCCTAACCGCGGGTCCAGGCCCCGTTTGCCCAGCCCTAGTTTGCATACTATTGAAGATGTTCTTACACTACTTTCAAATTGTCTAAAATATTTTTTTTTCAAGTGTGCATGCATAAGATTCTGCGAGAAGCAACAATCGCACTGTCTACAAAAGTTTTTGTGACATCCCACATCGCCCAGGGGAGTGATCCATAAATGTATATTCTCATCCTTACCTAGCGCGAGGCCTTTTGGGAGCTCACTGGCTTCGGGTTCCGTAGGAACTCTGAAGTTAAGCAAGAAGAGGGCTAGAGCAATCCCATGATGGGTGACCCACTGGGAAGTTGCTCGTGAGTTCCCAAAAATAAAACCGTGAGGGAATGGTAAGTCCAAAGCGGACAATATCGTGCTACAGTAGTGGAGCGGGCCCGGGAAGTGGTTCCGCCCCGGGCCGGGATGTGACAATTTGGTATCAGAGCCTAACCCTGGTCGCGTGTGTGCCGACGAGGACGTCGGGCCCCTAAGGGGGTGGATTGTGACATCCCACATCGTCCAGGGGAGTGATCCATAAATGTATATTCCCATCCTTACCTAGCACGAGGCCTTTTGGAAGCTCACTGGCTTCGGGTTCCATAGGAACTCCGAAGTTAAGCGAGAAGGGGGCTAGAGCAATCCCATGATGGGTGACCCACTGGGAAGTTGCTCGTGAGTTCCCAAAAACAAAACCGTGAGGGAATGGTAAGCCTAAAGCGAACAATATAGTGCTACGGTAGTGGAGCGGGCCTGGGAAGTGTTTCCGCCCTGAGCCGGGATGTAACAGTTTTTTACTCAAATTTTACTAGCAAATCATGGGAAAATTCTACAAAATTCACATAAAATTTTAATTTCATTCAACTTTTATTGCTACATAAGCTTATGAGAATTCATACTAAACATTATAGATAATACTAACTCAAACACAACTTAACACAAATAAAATGGGAAAATGATTTACTTTAAAAGATGAATAAATATATCAAAAAATAATACAACTTCTATTTTTTTTAAATGATTTACTTTTAAAAGATGAATAAATAAATTGGGAAATTAAAACACCTTCTCTTTTTTTGTTTGGAAGAAAGTTTAACCAGAATTGATGCTACTTCATTTCAAAGATAAATCATTTGCATACTACAAAACTCTTTGAGAATTTACTGAAAGAATTTTAACTTTTATTTTTTTATTTTATAAATCGCACATCAAAAGAAATTATTGACACTAAAACTCAAGCCTAAATGTTAATCTAGCACAAATCTTTATTCACTCGACCACCCTTCGTTACCTTAAATCGCTTCTTCGGAACATCGCCTAGTCGGACCAACTTGTCTTTTTATTTTATTTTTTCCTTGGGTCCGACCAGCTTGTCGATTACACTCTCAAAAGTCAAAACAGTGTAATTTAAATTTAAAAATAAAAAATAAAATCCCCGTCACAGCCTCGCACAGATGAGAAAGCACCCATCTTTGATCTCCACAAGTCCCAAGTAAACACCGGCAGTCGAACCGTTGAGAATCGACGTCGCCGACTCCCAATTCCGCTACTTCCGATTCGATTTCAGAAGCTGAGGTAAAAGCCGAGATTAAGAGAGGAGAGAGAGAGAGAGAGAGAGAGAGAGAGAGAGATGGCGATGAGTCCGGCGGTGCTGAAGGCGGGGCTGGTGATAGTTGGGCTGTGCATAGCCGGGTACATAGTGGGCCCACCTCTATACTGGCACTTCATGGAGGGCTTAGCCGCCGTCTCCCACTCTTCTTCTTCTTCCTCCTCATTCGCTTGCCCTCCCTGCACCTGCGATTGCCCTTCTCAGCCTCTCCTCTCCATTCCCATTGGTAATTTACTCTTCTTTTTTCCCTTGCCCGTGATCCATTTTTACCAGATCTAAATAAATCTCTTGCATTTTTTTCACGTTTTGTTTTGTTGGGTCTTACAAATTTTGTGCTGATTTGATGCCAATAAGCTCAAATTTCGATTGGTTCACTTATTTCAATCCATCA